ATCATAGCACCCACCCAGCTGTATAGAAACTCTGTAATTAACTCTCTTTTCCAAAGATGAGTGATTTCTCGATCAGATAGATTTATTTTTTTTTATTTTGTTGTTTCAGCAACATTAAATTTAAAAACTGTACTTTTGGGTTAAAATCTATATTTATAATTTTAATAAATGACAAATTAAAAAGGCATGAACATTTTTTGTATCGAAAAAATATCGAACCGTGACACCAAAGAATCGAACCGAACCGAACCGTGAATTTTGTGTATCGTTGCACCCCTAATAATTAGCTATAATAAAATAAACCCTGCCATTTTATCATTTTAGTAATTTTATTCAGTATATCCCTATATTCCTACATTTTTGTAAAAGTGATGTTTTATGTAATCTATGTGTCTTTTGCAGGGCAAAGGGAGAACTCTGTACTTGCACAGACGTGGACACATTAAACCTGAGGAGAAGTTTAACTTTCCCCTGCTCTCCTCCTGGGATTATGGCTGGAGGCTTGGTACGATGGAGTCACAATCTTGTGGTGTGGTGACTGTAAAATGATGCATAAACTTTAGAAAGATAAAATTTGTTGAATCACAAATCACCATTAGGTACTAAATGTACTATAACCTCGGTAGTAATCCTGTGATTTAATACCAGGAGATCCTGTAACAGTGACTGATTAAACTATATTCACTATTTGGAATTTAAATATCTTAAAGGTTACACAATGCAAAAAACAACAACAACAACAACAACAACAAAAAAAAACTATTTACAGGTGTTTTGCAGATGTCAGGTGTTTTTTTTTTTTTTCAGTCTGATCACAGTCAGAGGTATGTGCCTCATATCAGGCATGCCCCACCTTTCTTGCAAACATCATACAGATCCAAGAGGAGGGGGAAAAAAGTAAATTAGAGTATTCAGAGCAGTCTGAAAGCTGAGGTTTTGATGCAGGGAGATTACATGTGCATGTGCTGAACAGATTATTTGAAACTCTGGCCGTGATTAATATGAACATCCACCACTGAAACAGTATATATGTATGATGAAAATAAAGAAAAACACAAGGTCCTGCCTTAACGTAGAGAAAAAAAGTTAAAGTGACAATCCTTTCTGCACATTTTTTGCTAGCTTACCTTATCAGCTTCTACTCATACAAAATCATATTTTTCGGATTTTTGTCATTAGGTCAATTTCTTCCAGTTGTAGTAATAGAAATTGTTGAGTTTTTATTAACTAAATGTTATTCAGTGCATCACTGGGTCCAGCCTGTGGAGGTCACTGGGCCAGTGTCAGACTTAGTTTAACTGAACAACATTCACACCATGACTGTGATTAACTCAGACATCTCTGGTTTTACTGTGAATGTGCTCAGTTCCAGTCTGCCACCACAGATTTGTAGATCTGTAGATGCTTTCCGCTCAAATTTGTAATTCTTCAGATTATTGTAATCTTCCTTTATCCACAGGTGATTACACGCTAGATTACAGAACTCCATCCAGCGCCAGGTCATCCTTGGTGAAGAACACCTTCTATGCAAAGAACGGGGTATTCAGCCGCCCAGCAGCCACCGACACCCTAGGCTGAGGTTCTGTTACCCCATACCAGAGGCTGCTCTTTAATGAGGGTAAAGAGCACTTCAAAGGCAATCGTGCCAACAGATGTCCAACTATAACCCCAGGCTAATGTGATTTGGGGATTTCCTGGTATTATAAACTCATTTACTTAAAAAAAAAGTGTATTTTTTTTCTGTTTGTTTTAGAAGTTTTCGAAGGTACGTGTTGAACTGCTTAGATTTTGACTTCCTATCAAACAAAAGACAAAACAAAGCTTTGATACATGAGTACACCAGTAAGTGGTCATATTTATCATGAGATAAAATGTCCTGTCAGGAAATATGGTGATGGAAATAAAAAGTGCACATAGCCCATCAATCCATCCTGAAATCCAGTACTTCCTGTAATGCTGTCTGGTTACGATGCGCATGGCTGTAGGGTTAAGTGTCTAATAACCTGATACCAAGTGTTGGATATTTAATGAGTATCTTGCCTGGAAAGAGTCCGGAAGAAGCAACTGACCTTTATACACCTGAAACCTGAGTACTAGGTGTATTCCAATGAGCCACCAGAGGAAATGTTATACAGCACAGGCTAGTATTGATTCCTAATTAAACATAATTATTTAAAGACTATATTTTCTGCTCATTTTGAGCTCCATAGTTGCTCTTGGACTGTACAAATAGTGCATGACTCACAGTACAACATAACCCTTCTTTAACCTTTATTGGGGTTTGGTACAGCTCCTCAGTTTATCATCTGTCTGAAACTAGTTGTCCAGCTCCTCCAGCTTCAAGGAGACTTTCCTCTGATTTGCTGCTGCTTATAAACAGAATGTGTGGAGCTTAAGATGAACTGACCATATTAGTGGATCATATCTGTTATGGCTCATGCTGAGCAAAATTATAAAGAAGACTGCCTGACACCAAGCAGGCATTTAGAGCAATCTGGCCACGTTTAATGTAAGAGCATCTCCAAAAGTTGATTCTGTTCATCTGGACGTAGCGTTTTCAGTGGAAGAAACGTTTTGTCACTCATCCAAGTGACTTCTTTAGTCTCAGCTGACTGCAGGTTTCCCCAATCTTATAAACAGTACATTTGCATAATGACTGAAACCAGCCCACTGAATAAACAATGGGCTGGGAGGTCAGTTCCTTCATTCTAATTATGTAAGAGCATATATGACAGAAGAAAAAAAGAATAATAGATCAGTATAATTTCTAGCTAAAGGTCCTTCTCTGAGTGTTTTGCAACTGAGGCGTTTGTGTTTCATAAGGTCAGCTGTGTGTGTTTTTTGTTAATTAATCACGTACATTGTTTGATCTTACAGTGAATGTTGTAATCCTGCAACTCCTGTCACAAGTGCATTAAATCAATTTCACAAAATCACTTTCACCAGTTGTTTTGTGGAGGAAGTAGACTCTATACAGAATCTACATACTGCAGTTTTTAAATTATGATTTCACTCATGGAGGGGGGGGGGGGTATAACTAATTTCAGGTATTACCAGCAAAATAGCTGCATGTTTAATCATCTAGGAGTTTACCCAGATTTACCCCCCCACCCCCACAGACACTACAGACACAACAGACACAGTGAAGTAAAACTGGCAAATTGTTTACTGTGTTTCCGTAATGTTGTAAACCAGTGAAAAATGCATGCATGAGTAAAACATGATTTGTGGTTAGTGCAATTCTGCAACACAGAGCTAACCTTTACAAATGTGGATAGTCTTTGCTCTGTTAAAGAAGACACAAACATAATTTAGTTCCTTTAACTGTCCCAGAAGGTTTGTAATTTATTAAACTGTGGAGACTGCAGATTTAGGAGGTTGGGAAGATCTGGAAGCCAGTGAATATGGTGCTGGCGCTGGCCTGGCCTGTCAGGATGGTGTTCGTCTTGACTGTCTTCAGTGAGACCACGTCGCCAACTTCCAGCTCCAGAACTGCCGTGCCAGAGACGACCAGAAACCCATTATACTGGTCACACAATTCCATGTCACTTACACCATTTTTCTCCAACTTCAGGCACACCTAGAGGATCACAAGTCACACACAGAAATTTTATTTATTATAAGATTGTAAACAAGCATTCCTTATATAAAAATTATTTCAAGAGGTGTGACTGCATTTTAACATAAACTTTACAAAAGTTGTTTTTGTAAGAATCTAAATAATACAAAAACAAACAATATTGTAAATAATAGAAATCATGGAAATCATCGCAACTTTATATTCTAAAAGATTTGTGTATTTTACATTTATTTTCCAACATAATGAGGAAATACAAAAATATAAAAGACAAAGATTGGCTTAAAGACAGGCAGAAATAAAGTAATGGAGAAAAAAATCCTTTTTTACAGGCTTTTTCCAAAATGTTTAACAATCATTGCTAACAATGAATTTTACAATCAAACAATCAAACCTATCAAAATGTATGAAATTTGATCACTGGGGTTGTTGTAGTTTCCCCTCCCTGATAATGCATATTAATTTATAGTTTTCTGAATATTTCCCAATTTGGAATCAAAATCCAGAATGAAGTATTTTTTTGTTAATGTAGAAATATTTAATTTCAAGTAAGAATTCAAGAGATATTTAAATATAGTGAGGCAAAAGTAAAACTTTGATATCAATGTTCTCATTGTGGATACTGTTCCCTTTTACTATCAGGTGGAATTATTATGAGGCTTTTAATATTCATACTTTGAGTTGTAAGTACTGAGCTTGAAAGTTGAGTAGAATACATGACAGCAGTTTAATCTATACAATATTGGAACACAAAAAAGGAGAAGGACAAACACAAACTTGGCAGAAACAGAAAACACAGAGTAGTTTTACAAGAATAAATTATTCATACTCACCTTATACCTTCCTGAGATGTGGTAACTGAAGAAATATATGCCTCTGTTGGTGCAGATGTACGTTGTATCATTTGTCAGTCTTTCTCCTCGAAACGGTTCATTCTCTTCAGCCAAAATTGGTCTGTGGGAGATTTACAGATCAACAACGATAGTTTGTTTTTCTGTTTTTTTTTAAGTTTTGAGTTGTGCTAGTTCTTACAAAACAAAGAGCTGTGGTTATTTTTTATTCATAGCAATGTGTGTATTAGAGATGTGCAAAGCAGCCGTTATTTGTATCTGTACTTGTATTTGTTGAGGAGGGAAAAGTATTTGTATTTGTATTCGAGTAATATTTTTAAAAAATGCGTAAAAATCCAGTTTTTTTGCGTTGCACTTTTAACAAACATTATAGTGTAAGTATTCTTTAATTATATCCATTATAATAATTATGAATATGCAATATTAGTTTATGTTTTCCCATAAATCCAGCAATGAACATGTAACAAGGAACGTCATTGAACGTCATTGCCAGATGGCTCAGCAGCAGCAACATTCTTCTATTCGGTTCCCCAAATCCATGTGGGGAGTTTCAGCTAAGTTAATGAGTGACAACTACACAAGCATTGTTTTAACCTTTTTAACCGAACGTTAACGTTACTCTGTCAACAGCCTATTGTCTAAATTACTGAGCTAACAGAGCTATGTAAAGACAAAGGAACACCAGAGCACCCAACTGCAGACATCAATGATGCAGCGCAATGGCATAATCTCCCGATCTTCGCAAAAGTTATAAACTGGAACCCAGTAAAGGTACAAAAATATCAATTCAGCAAACATCGTGAAGCAGTTCACTCTTTTTTCGAGCCTTCTCTGTTGCTGTGTGGAGCAGTGCGTGTCAGTCACCTCTTTCACATGTCACTCACTCATCTAGTCATGTTCTGCGGTCTCATAAGAAAACTCAGGTTTTTAATATATAATAATATAATATAATATAATAAAGTTTTTCTTATTCCCGAACACAAATATTTTTTTAAAATATTTGTTCAAAATAAATATTCGTAAAAAACACGTTATTTGTGCCTTTCCGAATACCATATTCGGGTTCGGCTCCCCCTCTAGTGTGTATTACTCTAATTAAAACCATATTTTAAAAGAGTAACATCTTGTTGGGTTGAAAAAGTTTAAAAAACACTATTTGAAACAATAACCACCTCAGGATGATGTTTAATGAGGTCATAAATCGAAGGAGCTGAGTGTCGTTTTTCTATTAATCTGATTTTTTGAACCAGTCACCCCCTGCTGGCCAGTAGAAAGAATGCAAGTTTAAGCAGTGGCTGCATTTTTCAGACCTGGAAGCTATTGCCATCTTTCATATACAGTCTATGGTTCAACTAAGATTACACAGTGTTGATGAATCTGTTACTTACTGTTCATGTTTTTAAACAAAAATCTAAAACTTGTTATGTGTGGAGACTTTACTATATGCCACTATTTTAGTCAGTGTTTTTTAAATAGAATAACTAAGTTAATCAGGTGCTCAGTGGTCACTTTATCTGTCATCCAATCAAACAGTTTTTCCCTTTTTGTTTCCTTACCACTAGCTTTGGGTAGTTTCTATATTTACCTAGCAATTCTGAAATAAAATATCACTCTTTTTTCATTCTGAAGATTTAAAACTTTCAGCACACTGACCCATTGAAGATGATGGGAGTATCTACTGCTGATGATGTCGTAGATTTCAAGGAGAAATAGGATTGTTGTTGGCCAAAGGGGCTTCCCTTCGGCCCGCGTAGACCTGGTAACCCCCTACTGCCTGGTTGGCCTGGGTCACCTTTCAGTCCAGGTCGCCCTGGAGGACCCATTGGACCAGGTTCTCCTTTCTGACCCCTGATGGTATGATCTGCCTCACCTACACATGCAAATAAACAGTTATTACACAGCATAAAAATATCAGTGGAAATTGAAACTGAAGTACAAGATAATCAGTTATCTTTTGGCCAGCGTGGCAAATGCACCAATTAAGTTTTTTTTTAAATCTGTTAATGAAGAAGTCCTCTGACTAAATAGATGTTTTAGTAATAGGAACAAAAACCTGCACTCCATATAGTGTACAGTTAATATTGAGTATTTATTCTCTTCATGTGCAGTCTGCGCTCACCGGGGTCTCCCTTCTCTCCTTTAGCACCATCATTGCCGTTGGGCCCATGAGTGCCTGGTATCCCAGGAATCCCAGGAATTCCCCCATTGCAGGACTGCATGTCAGCTGGGGTGATGTGAACCAGAAACAGCAACACTGCAGTACTGCAGCTCAGCCACCGGAGGGCCTGATCACACAGATATGAGTTACCTTTCAAAAAAATAGACCCTCATATAAAAAAACAAACAAACCAAAACATAAAAATAAAATAAAATAAAGCTTTCAGAAGAATTTCCATCTAAGTGGAGCAACAAGCTACAAACTAAAGATATAACTTTTTAAAGATTGTATTGAATCCTTACAAAAATAATACAATAAAATACAAAAAATACAGGAAAATGTTTAGGATAAGTACATTTGAGTCTTTAAAAAGAAATCTGTAAAAGACAAGAACTCTAAAACATTTAACTACACTTGTGAAAGATACACAGTGAAAGATAATTGACACAGATTTGAATCCAACATGAACAACCATTCAGCAATAAATGTGAGGAAACCCAACACTTCTATACAAGTCTGTACAGTTTTGTCTGGCTAGCTTTTTAGTATCTGTAAAAATCATCTCACCATTTGCAGGTAATAAAGTGTGTCCCGCTGCAGCGGAGCAATAAGCTGATGGGGAGCGGAGATGAAGACTTTTCGTTGTGCTTCACTGTGACTGCCACAGCTCAATCGGGCAAAAAAAGAGGAAGTGAAACTTAAGAGAGCAAGAAGAAAAACTATTGGTGTCACTATTAATCCTTTCTGTGGTACAACACTAATTCTTCACTCTGTAGGGACTTGGGTCTGGTCTGGTCTGATTATTTGGGCTTTCTCTTTATTGCTGTAGGCTCTTAACCTTGCAATGAAAATTGCCTTGAGATGATGATGTTGTTGTGATTTGGTGGTGTGTGAAAAAAAGTGAATAGAATAGCTGGGGTACCTGGAGAGAACCCATGCAAAAATGGGGGAGCATGCAACCACTGCATCTCTAAATATACTTATTCAAAATAAAACACCCAATAATCACAAAAAATGAATGAAATAAATGTTACATCTAATTTGACATTGGTTATGAACAATACCAAGGAGGAAGCGCTGAAGTGTTAAACTGAGCAGAGATTTATTGTTTTTGCATCATGAACATCCAGAAATGATTTGCCTTTTAACTATATATATGATTGTACATACTCTTAAAAGCATGTTTGGAAATGCTACACTGATTTTACAGTTTAAAAAAAAAGATTGTGAGGCCCTGTCTCTGCTTCAAGCTTTTATGCTACATCTAAAAATATAACGTCGGTTATTCATTTTTATTTTTTATTCAACACTGGTTTAAGACTATTTATTTATCTTGGGGGAATATAAACCAACATCATCGCATCAGATATCATTTTACAACCCATGTGAAACTGATTGGATCCATGAAGCAAAAATACATTTTTATAGGGAAATAACTGTTGTTGTTGTTTTCGTTTTTAAAGAGGTGGCAACTTTAGAGCTGAAATACGTGATACAAAAACATTTTGGCCCCTTCTTCATAACAACTCAGGGTGGGGAGAAAATTTCTTAGAACTCATCCACCAGGATAACTCAGTTTGGATGATGTTTATTGACAAATGTCCTGACAAAGACAGCTGTAGTTGATCAGTATCTTTGTGTTTTTATGTTTTTAAGTCCAAATTTAATCAATAAAGAACTTTTGAATTAAATGGCTCAAATATATAATGTTATTAAAATATTGTGAAGTGAAAATATAGCAAAACAAAATGGAAATTACATCCATCAGTCTTATAATACAGTCTACCAGTAATTTCCAGCATGTTATATATTTCAATTTATCTACCTTTTCCTGTTTGTTCTGTTCTCATTTGATTCTTTATGATTATTGCATTTAGTCAGTTTTACCCAAGAAAGTGATTTTTTTCTGAAACCTTCTAAGGAAGTGAAACTGTTTCAGATAAGGTCAGAGAAGTCTCCACCAAATGAAGAATTGATGATGAAGCATCACTGAGTGCATCTGATTAAAAAAATCTTTCCTCTAAATTAACATTTTGTTCTGTTTTTCTATCAACTTCTTTTTTATTGTCAGAAAAACACAGTGTTTCCAGGCAGTCTGCGGCTGAACTCCTAACCTCAGTCTGGATGTTGGTATCTGTTCCACAAAATATTTGATTTGCTCCACATTATGTAGCTGGTGTTTATTTTTAATAATGGCCTCCTGTTAATTTGCTAGTTTGGCGTTTTCTCTTCTCATATCCTCTTTTCATTTCTTGCATTTTAGATCGCAGCAGCAAATCATCCACGAAGTGGTAGGACGTAATCACAGAGCAGTGTCAGCAGATGCTGAGACATGTAGTGCCCAGGTCACCAACTCCATTGCTGAAGACCTTGAAACTTTAGTTGGCCTTCAGATTAGCTCCATTCCCTGAAGCACAGAGAAGTTCATGAAATTAGTTTCCATGACCAGCAGTTCCAGCCAAGTCTTACCTCACCAAGAGTAATGCAAAACGCCAGATGCAGTGGTGTAAAGTACACCTCTACTGGAGTCTAGAGCAGTGACGATGTATTTTTTTGGAGTGGCGAATCACGCTTCTCCGCCTGGTAATCCGATGGACGAGTCTGGGTTTGGCAGTTGCCAGGAGAACTTTTCTGCATTGTGCCACATTTGGTGGAGAGGGGGATTATGGTGTGAGCATGTTTTTCCCAGTGGCGCTACAGTGCTCTGCCCCTTAGCTTCAGTGAAAAGAACTCATGTTGCTTCAACATACATATTAACATACTAAATTTTGGACAATTTCATGCTCCCAGCTTTGCGGGAACAGTTTGAGGATGATCCCGTCCTGTTCCAATGTAACTGCACATAAGTGCATATAGTTAAGCCCATAAAGGCATTGATGAGCAGGTCTGGTGTGGAAGAAATTAACTGGCCTACACTGAATCCTGACCTTAACCCGATTGAACACCTTTAGGATGAATTAGAGCGGAGACTATCAGGCCTTCTCATCCAACATCAGTCTAACCTCACGAATGCACTTCTGGAAGAATGATCAGTAATTCCATAAAAACAGTTGTAAACTTGGAAAGCCTTCCCAGAAGATCTGAAGCTGTTATAGGTGCAAAAGCTCAGATGACGTCATATTAGACCCAGCTGATTAAAAATGGGATTTCACTGACATTCATATGTGTGTGAAGGCAGACGAGTGAATGCTTTTGACAATGTAATGTATG